TGTGATTACATGGCGTATGAGTGATTTTAATTTAACGCAGAGATACACACACATGCAAGTGCGCTCATCTTACAGTTATATACATGTGTGTGTGTGTGTGTGTGTGTGTGTGTGCGTGTGTTTGCGTGTGCGTGTCTGCGCGTGTGTGTGTGCATGTTTGTGGGTTAACATGCACATGTTTTTAAGTAGTTATGCAAATGTTAAGCGAACAGCGGCCGCCTTTTGACCTGAAAAGTCAATATGAGAAATGCATATGAGCGCAGTCACAAGCAGAAACACACTCTCACTAACACACACACACACACACACTCACGTACGCATACATGCTTGCTACTTATGCCACTGACTGTTAATTCCCAGCAGCACGGCCTCTTCTGCGGTCAGACACAGCCGACAAAACGTTCAGCTCTGTTAATACTCAGGAGGTTCTACTTTTGATGTTGTGCGAAAAAAGGAAACATTTTCAATGGAAATGTAGAAATCTCCACTTGAAATCTGTTATTCCGCTTATAATAGAAATGTTTCCATAGTTTGTGAGTTTGAGAAACTTTAAGTTCATCGTATGCCAATCACATTAGCCTACTGCTCTGGTTTCCTAACCTTCGTCTTTTCATCTTGGCATTTTGCCATTCGCCAAAAAAAAGGGGCTAGAACGCAAATTTCATAATAAATTTGCTGTCGATTATTCGTTGTAGCATCTATATTTGAAATTAGAGTTAAAGCGGCGAGCAGTTCCGCTTTAAATTCATTGCATAAAGGCAATATGATTAGAATATAGCTTTATCAAAAATAAATTCCTAATTAAAAGGCTGTTCTAAAATACTTAAACTGCTTCGTTAATGGATTTAGATCAGTTCATGATTTAATCTAATTCGAATCAAAGCAATCAATCAGTTGTGTATATTTAAAACGATAGCACAACACTTTCCTGTCCCTGTTCGGTTCTGTGATTCACATATTTAATTCGCTCCCCTTTCAGAACTTGCCATTTCGATTGAGTGGTCGGCCACTCGAGTTGGGTCAACAGCTAGCCGGCAAAAATCGAATTGTGAGAGTGTAAACTTAATTAAGAGCGCACAGACAAGGTTGATTTTATTTGATTTGCACGCTCACCACCCACCCACCCCCTCTTTAATTATGTAAGTGTTGTTTCTTCTTTACAGTGCGGGTGGGTGGGAAGTGGGTCAGTAGGGGGTCCGCACAAGAACTAATCCAGCGCCCAGCTGTCACTGATTACCCCCAGCTGGGAGAGCTAACGGCCTATGGCCGAAAAAACAAAAAACAAAAAAGGGCAAGCATTTCATGGCTCATTAGGCATGCACATATGTACGTTTGTACGGACACGGAAGCAATCGTTAGTTCGTGGTCGCCATCATCGTTCTATACTCGGCTTTAGCGACAAGTCAAGCCGCTCCTTACTCCTTGCCCCTCACCCTACATCCCTAATACGCCACTCCCAGACAACACACAGAAATAGCAAATTCAATTTTCTACGACGCCGATTTGGTTTCCGCACGTCTTCAGTTTTCTCCACATGCCCATCTACTCATGTATCCTGCTTCAGCTCCCACTCCGGCTAGGCGCCATGAATAAATGTAGTTATTGCCTGCAAGTGTTTGTCTGTCCTGCCGTCCGTCTTCCTGCGAGTTCTCGATAGCATTGCCATTGCGTTTGCTTTCGATTCGTTGCCGCGCACAGCACTAAAATAAATGATAAGAATCTGTGCGCGCTGCTCATGAATTACAAATCGCATAAAGGATTTGCCACTGGCTGAAGACAGTGCCAGGACGGAAGTCGCGGTGGTAGTGGCCGGCGGGCCCTTGCACGTTGCATTGTTTACTTACATTTCGCTGAGAGTGCCGACAAACAGTGACTCGATATTGATTCGATATAGATATTGCTTTATACAAGTGCCTCAAGTGCTGTTCACTAATATAAATGTATATGTATTTTCCCGATCTATTAAAATGTAATACGATTCATACTTCCATATCTCAAATAATTATTTAAAGACGTTCTTTGGCAAACTTTTGAGATATGAATAGTTTAAAAAGTACTAAGAGTTTAGTTCCACCTGGGGCTCCATTGTCTACAAAACTGCAAACCAACTAGCTAGTGCATATTTTCAGATTCTCCTCCTCTGGTTTTATGGAATTACAAATAAGTGCATATCTTTTGCAAAGATATGCATGTAGCTTAGATGTTCCATTTTTTGCTCTGTACCAATAAAGTTGAACCACTGTGCAGCATTGCAGACAGCGCGCAAATATCGAAGCGCGCTGAGCATTTTAATGCGCTGAGATTTTCTGAAAAGACGATAACAGAAGTAAAAAAGTTGACCACCAATCCCCCTTTCCACTCCGTAGCCCCCTTCCTACGTGCGACGCGTATGTGTTTAACTGTGATTAGAAGTGGTGGCAGTCCATTACAAGTAATAGCATTAATAAGAAGACACACTTGTGGTTGGTTTCGGTTTTCTATAAAATGTAGAATTTGTTTTCTTTATTTCGTTATGACTATCCATACAATACATATCTGTATATAAGTATACTTAAATAATGCATTTAGCTTTTGGACTGAGCCGTAAGTTGTTAATCATTTATCGTCCTATAAATACATAGCTAATATATCAATATGACTACGCTTTACAAGAATCAGATCATTTAGTTCTCATTTTATATAGCATTTAGATATAGGTTTTATTTCTAACTGTTAAATGCTAATTGTTTATCATACTCGCAGCACTCCCATTGAACTAAAAACAAAACGATTCCTTTACAGTTTTATTATACATTGCATAGCAGTGAGAAAAGGGAGTTCTTTTATACAAGTATTTTATATTATAATTGGTTTTCATTATTCTGTAGAAAAAATTATTATCACCGTTTTTGTCGAAATCGAAATTCTTCTTGAATTTGGAGTACACTATCATTTATAATTAGTAATCTTTTGTTCAATTTGTTCTTGTATGTAGTATGCCTTTAGGAAAATAGCCATTCTAACACCTAAGTCGACTAGATCTTGAAATTTATACAATAGATTATTGTTCTTGGTTTTTTTATTGGTATCAAGTACTTCAAGTTATGCATAGACAATATATTCCTCAATAGGCAGAATGTGACAGGATAAAGGCATGCCTGAGGGCAGAGAAGAGCGGAAAAGAAATTCTACATAGATTGTGACTTGAAAAACACTGTTAGGGATATCAACGGAGAAAGGTAGAAAAAGGTTCCATATTCGGTAGAGTAAAGGATTAAATAGTTGATCAAACAGCCTAATGTTGGTTATTCTTTAATAGATTTAATAAACAAGTAGAAGGTGTTTCGGCAGTCGTTTATAGAATATGCGTCAACTACTTTTACTTTACACAAGTAGTTAGTTAATTTATTCAAATTCCTACGTCATTTACACTTATGAGCACAATTTAGACAGGGTATCATCGTTAGTTTTTAAACATTATGCCAAAATTCTTAATTCATTATTCATGTTTTTGTTTTATATATTATTGCTGAAGTAATTTATGCACATTTCTTTTTTAACGCGCTCATAAAATATGCTAAGGCCACATTTATTTTTATTTTATTTACCAATGATTTACACTATAAACCGTCGTTCTTGAGCTGCATTAGAAGCTATGTTAATAATAGTATTTCAAATAAATCAAAAAACGTCTCGTAAAAGCAAGTTGAAGAATTGCAAGAATGAATTAAGAAGTGTGATTTCAACCTTAGCCGGACCAGATCCACACCTCATCAAAGATGAGTTATGCACATTATTGAAGATTACAATTTATGCTCAGAGAATTGGGTTTACCTCATGCTGGCAAAGTTTATACTGCGTTAGCTCATCGACAGAGAAATAAAAAATATCAGAAATAAAACGCTTCCGTCACTTCAATATAATTTCACAAATTTTTAAAGTTTAGACAAGACGATGACACCTCTAAGCCGGGGTATATATGTCATCTAGTTATCCTATACATAGGAATGAATATCATGGAGTTGAACAAAGAATAACTCCAGAAGGCTAAGACGGGAAAGATGTTGACTTGTGAATCGGAATAAGTAAATAAGACTCTATAAGAAACTCATAGTGAAACTCATAGTGTTGAAGCTGCTAAGTAAAGTTTTCGCATTGGTCAGGTAAAGATTGATATCTCTAGGATATCCTATAAAGCATTTGTAAAATGAATAATTATGGTATTATGAATTGGAGATATAAAAAACGTGTTTTATAAAACGCTAAAATCTATTGAGATGGATGTCTTAAATGTTAGGGAGTCTTAATTCAAAGAGGTGATCGATTAAATTAAAGCGAACCGAAATAGGAGAAGACGTAGTCACTGTTTAATCTCAATTTATCGACATTTCTGGGCTAGCCCCGTAATTGATATATATATATATATATATATATATATGTATTTGTGTTATGTACATACCATATAGTTACAATAGTGTTACAGTAAATTACAAAAGTCGCGTTATCAAAAGACAAACCTGAAACGTGAACACTGAACACGGGAAAGCTGAATGCGCTCATCGGCTTAATTATCACGCGACGATGACGGGCATTCCTGACGCGGATGATGTTGACGATGCGGATGATGAGGCTGAGGCTGCTGAAGCGGAGGATCCGTGTTGCTGGCCGTGATGGGAAATGTGATGGACCGGAAAGCTCCACAGTGCAAAAGGCATCTGTTGTTGCATCAACAAAAGCAGTTGCCGTAATTTGTTGGTCGTTGTTGTTGTTGTTGCCAGCGCTGGCCGTATTGTCGTTGCTGCGGCTGCTCCTGATGCTCCTGCTCTCTGAGTTTCACTTGCAAATCCCGCCGCTGGGCCGCCACTCCCCGCACATGAAACTCCGTGCCCCGCGCTTACATTCGGTCGACTCGCGCCATCATAGGCCCCATTCATATGCATACCCACCCGCCCATTTATATTCACATCTGCATCTGCAGTTTTCGACCCGCCCGTCCCATCCCCCTCCCCATCCCCGTCACGGACAACACAGCGCATCTGCAGCTCGCCGCGTCGTCATTCATCCCACAGGCACTGTTGTTTCTGGCGCACATAATAGGTGAACTGTGTACACTTGCGGCAGGTCTTAATGCCGCAGCGATAATTTGTCTGCTGTTGGGCACCGGATGTGTCGCCTCCCAGGTTGGCGTTGCCACTTTTGCCCTTGCAGTACTTCAGTCCGCACGGATACCAGCCGATGCACGTCTCCAGCGTGCAGAGACAGGGCGCCCACAAGCTGCTCACTTCGTTGCAGCGCGACGAGAGCACGTCGGGGAACTTTTCGGTGGCCGCCTCAAGGCTAGAAATCGAGGAGCCTGCAACACAACAAAGTTTCACGAAACGAGTCAGAAAACGACCGTCAATAGCGCTTGACCGCCAGTTGACGTATTGAAGTTTCGAAAGGATGATTAATCACTACTGAAGAGCACTAGCAAGGAATAGTTGAGTAAAAGGTACTACAAGCAACAACCACCTTCTAAGTTGGATGCTATTTTAAAGTCGAACAATGTTGGGTTGATAAAGAACTTAATTTATGAATGGTCTCATCTTACGATAAGGCAAAGAATAAAGGTACCTAATTGATGAAGAATTAATCAAATACATCTTGCGATAAGGTCTAAATAAAGATGTAATAGAATTTGTTGATTATAATGCATTTAAGGGGAGTATGGATATCCCATTCAATTTTTAAGAAAGCTCATTTAGTAACATTTTAATCTATTTGAAAAAACTGTTTATTATCTGTAGAGTTGCGTCGTCCTTAACTCACCTGGCAACTCGGACCAAGCTTTGAGATCGACGTCGCGCACATATGTGGCATCCACGGCCTCAGCGCAAAGCGTCTGCAGGTGACGCGTTATGGGTAGTGAGCGATTCAGTTGCACCCAGGAGCTCATTGTGAACGTCTCCTTGCCCTTGTCCTCCTCGGGAGTGCGTATGGTGTGTGGATTCTTCTGGCGCAGCTTGGCCATTGCGTCGGAGGAGATGAAGTCGCCCTTGTTAAATTTTGTGGCGAAGCACATCACTTGGTACTGACTCTGACCGCGCTCCTCCTCGCCCAGCACCAGCGCCTTTAGAATTTTCACCTCCTGCGAGCGAAAGTGAAAAGCGAGATGCTCTCTGTACTATTGCGGAGAAAAATCATCGCCCTACGCCCATTACTTACGTTGCGAAAGTCGATGACTTGTGTGATGAGCGTGCCGTCTGTTTTCTGAAACTCCAAGGTAATGAGATCCTCGCCAATGTTGGATGTAATGCTCTCCTGTATGACCTCGCCGCCCTGCAAAAGAGTTCAGAAAAAGTGTCAGTTGCGCAACAAGTGCCAACTTGAAGCTGAAACTAGCACAACTCAAGGGTGTCAAGAGTGCCAAAGACGTTGGTCTGGCTGGCACTCGCAGCCCCGCAATGTGCCAGTCAAGCAGCACTAGAATATTAATAAAGACGCTGTGCCATCAGCCGCGGGCTTTTCTCCTCCTACCCGGGGAACAGGCAACAAAGCGAGTGCTTCCAAATCGGGCTTGCAAACTACAAGTAGTAGCTATGACAGCAGCGGAGACATGCGGCCATGAACCAAATTAGAGTCACGAGAACTGCAAACGGAATAGGCCAGTCAGAAGTCCGCAAGCGAGATGAAGCGAAAGGGCAGCGACAATGACAGCCAACTGAGCTCATCTCAGCTGAATTCAGCTCGAAAAATGTAGTTCAACATCCGAACAAAAATAACAACTAAACACGTGTACACAAATGTTTGAATGAATGAGTAAGCCTCGCTATGACGAACCTCACGAACCATTAATCACGAATGCAATAAATACGAAGCAAAGAATTGCAAACACATTCGATTTTTTGCCAGGGAAGTGCAGGGATTGGAAAAATTTACAATAACATAATTCAGAGACAATTTTATTGTATTTTTGTGGTTTGTTAAATAAAAATGAAAAATTTGGGGTGAATCAAACCAATTGGTTGAACTTCTTAGCAAGACTGAGTCAAGCTATTCCGTAAAAGCAAATGCCAGAGAACAATAAGAACTCTTACAAATTATTCAAAGAACCATAAAAAGTAAACCCTATTACTTGCATATAAAAATAAGTTGTTGGACTCAGACACAAAACTATCTATGTAATCGGTAAATGGTCTGTGCCAAGTCGAAGAAATAAAATGATTAGAAAGTCCTTCGTAAATTATCTTTAGGAGAGTCTTACTGTATGTATGGTTGGCTGATGCCGATGTGCCGAGCTACATATGTTTGTGTGTAGGTAGGCGTGTGTGGTTGTAGGTGTGTGCTAGTGTTGGCTCGGAGTGTTTGCACAAAGCGCGTGTAAACAAAGCTGACGTATGGAGAAGCTCGACAATAGCAACAACACCCAAACCCACAGCAGCAGGGCAGAGCAGAGGCAGAGCCCAGCCACAGAGCAGAGCAGACATTTTGGGGCCAGGGACAATAATAACAACAACAACGCAAAGGAAAGCGGCTGCTGCACAACAACAAAGGATGTCACATGTAAACAAATAAGCACACACACACATACATATACACACACATACATATACACGTGCTGCAGTCATTTCACTGCAGGGACTGCCAATTCTTTGTAGTTGCTGCTGCGGCTGCTGCTTTCGCTCTCTCCTTTCCCTCTCTCATTTTTGTTCTCTTTGCCTCTGAGGTTAATAAGCTGACTTTTGGCAAACTAATCTAAAATTTATAGCGCAGCGGCCCAACAAACAGAACAACGCCAAATGTCAATACGTTGCCTTGAGTTGCCTCACTATGTATGTATGTATGTATGCACACACATATATGTATAAAAGGACGTGAGGGTGTGAGAAAATAAATGTATGCATGTACGTATGGTAATATTTTCATACAGGACGATCTGACGAAAGTAAAAGGTGCAGTAGATTTATGTATTCGGCTATAGCATGCTCTTTTAAATTATTTATTTATTAGTGCAGATATAATGATGATACTACGAAAAACTTATTCACTTTGTTTTGGGCCCAATTCTGAAAAGATTTTCGGACAACTATACTACTTGTAGTCTGGCTGTTGTGATTAAGAAGTTACTATGCATTTATATTAGTATTCTTTCTTCTACATATTTTATGACAATTAAAGACAGTCGCAGGGTACAAATCTGAGCCGATGCTTATGATTTCTTGAATACCCTTGAGACGCACAAGCACATCACGGATCGCGAGCGAACTTACAAAAACAAAATACATGCAGTTGTAGCCAGAGAGGCGCACAAGCACGCAACCAAATGGCTAATTGAACTTAATTTCATTTTGCAAAAAAGTTTTCCACAGAAGCTAGTGTCGACTAGCCCGTATTTAATAGTTCTTTAAACAGAATGTAAAGTTTAAGAACTTTTTATTTAAAAATCCATTTTAGGAATATCACATATGCACATATTAAAGATTTTCCTTTCAAAGTTTTGTCAATCTATAACAAAAGAATATTTTTATTAATATTTGACATTAAAGGCTATATTCGGAAGTTTCCTTGAGAATCCAGCACGTGGAGAAAACACGAAAACTGTCAATCAAGTTCAAGGTAATGACAAAAATAAACAAACAATACACTGGCACAAGGTGGCAGAACATATAAAAGATTTATTTCGATATTTCTAGCTAAATGGAAAGGAAATAACTAACCGTTTAATTGTGCTTTCCTTGCTGAAATAAATATTTAATTGAATAAACAACTTTGTTGAAATCCGTATATTTATGGACAAAATCAATCACGACTTTAAGGACGTATAGCGTGGACAAGTTCCTTTACTTATTTTATTTGTAGTTCAAGTGCAGCAGAACATTCGTTTTTAGATTATTTTATTCATTAAACTTTCAATATTGAAGGGTAAACAAATGTTTGGCTCTCACACGGGCGCGCTCTCTCTTTGTTTTTTGTTGTTACTTTGTGCTTGTGTGCGCTCAAATTCGAAGATGAGTTCGAAAAAAAGAACAACAACACACTGACAGCGCCGCGGCAGCGACAGCTGCTGAAATAGTGCGCGTGTTGCTGTTGTTGTTGTTTTTATAAAATGGAAGTTATTGTCACCGCTGTTTTTTTTTTTTCTGTTATCAGAGTGACAAGCTAAAACAACCACAACGCGGCTAATCATTTATTTCAATTCTTAATAGATTAAATTAAAAATAGAGTTCCAAAAGAAACCGGTAATTTGACAACTTAATTAGGGAACACGCTGATGCAATTTATAAGATTTTAGTCAAAAGTGTGACTGTCTGCGCGCACTATGTTATTTATATGGAGAGTCTGTGAACAGCTGTTCGATTAAATCAAAATTCACTTGCTTCCCGCTATTATGCAAACGACAACGAAGGAGTGTAAGTGCCGGTTGTAGTGATTTACGCACCTGATTCTGCACGTTTATTAGGAGCTGTGCCTTGACACCATTATTCTGCGAGACCAGCAGGTTGCAGAGCATAAACCAAAAGAAGCCACGACTGGTCTTGAAGAAGTGGTGTTTGCTGACGCGCTTTGAGCCGCAGCGGCGTCGCTCCTTCATGCGACACAATACTTTGCTGCCGCTGCCTGTTGACAGTTCGGGGTGCATGCTGCGCCAAATTACTTGTCGCATGTAGCGTGGCGGCATCTCCGGCCGCTCATGCTCGAGTATCATTTTGTTGAACGGTTTCAAAAAACAACAACTTTACTGTGCAGCTCACACGCGAGATTGTTATTATTTGTTACACGATAGGTGAAAATATGTTGACTGCGAAAATGACGCACTACCGACGCACAAGCCAATAGCGACCTCCTTTTAAAAAACCCGTTCGAAGAGCTCCGAGAGCCAACTTAAACTGAGAGCACAAATACGCAAGTGTGACCGTTACGCGAAACTGCACTTTGCGGCAAGAGTACGATTATACGACTTATCGAAAATTATCGATTCAATTGGGCAGCTTAGGCAGCACCGTGGCCGGTATTTAGTGGTACCCATAAACAGCTGTTCCCTTTCAAATGTACCATTTTTGGACGAACGCGTTTCAATCAGGGCTTGTGACGTGTTGTTTTTCCTAAAATATAATGTTTTTATGTTGCTAAATCCCAATTTACCAATTAGCCATTAACTGAAACTTGTACTGTTATCGTTGCATTCCTCGGCGTCACCACCATAAACAAGCGCAACCATGTTGACGATGCGAGAACGACAAATAAGTAAGTGCTCACTTCTGTTGTTTTTTTTTTCAAAATCAATTAAATTGGATTCGTTGTTCGCAGATGCTATAAAGCAAATGCTAAATCTGAATTCGCAGCAGCCAAAGGCGTTAGCGGCAGAACCGGTATGGAAAATACTTATATACGACCGTGTGGGGCAGGACATTATCTCTCCCATTATTTCGATCAAGGAACTCCGCGAACTCGGTGTGACGTTGCATGTGTGAGTTTTTCGCAATTCTATCTGTTGATTAAGGTTTAATTCCAATGTCTGGATGCAGTCAATTACACTCGGATCGAGACTCCATTCCCGACGTGCCGGCTATTTACTTTTGTCTGCCCACGGACGAGAATCTAGACCGCATTCAACAGGACTTCTCGAACGGACTCTACGATATCTATCACCTGAACTTCCTAGCGCCTATAACACGCAGCAAGATTGAGAATCTGGCTGGAGCCGCCCTCCACGCCTGCTGTGTAGCGAATATTCATCGAGTCTACGACCAGTATGTGAATTTTATCAGCCTGGAGGATGATTTCTTCATACTGAAGCACCAGCAGAGCGATCAGCTCTCCTACTATGCCATCAATCGGGCCAACACCCGTGACGACGAAATGGAGGCGCTCATGGACTCGATTGTGGACTCGCTCTTCGCTCTTTTCGTTACGCTTGGCAATGTGCCAATTATTCGTTGTCCGCGCAACAGTGCCGCCGAGATGGTGGCACGTAAGCTGGAGAAGAAGCTGCGCGAGAATCTGTGGGATGCACGCGCCAATCTATTTCACATGGACGCCACGCAGGCGGGCGGCGGAGTGTTTAGTTTTCAACGACCTGTACTGTTGCTGTTGGATCGAAATATGGATTTGGCGACGCCACTGCATCACACGTGGTCCTACCAAGCATTGGTCCATGATGTGCTAGACCTGGGGCTGAATTTGGTGTACGTGGAAGACGAGGCGGCAGCGAGCACAGGTGAATTTTTAAATTGCTTACCAATGTCACTGTGTAGACTGATTTTTCTATTTCCTGGACAGGTGCACGCAAGAAGCCGAAAGCATGCGACTTGGATCGCAACGATCGCTTCTGGACAACGCACAAGGGTAGCCCCTTCCCCACCGTTGCGGAGGCCATTCAAGAGGAGCTGGAGTCCTATCGCAACTCGGAGGAGGAAATCAAGCGACTGAAAACCTCAATGGGCATTGAGGGCGAATCAGATATTGCTTTCTCGCTGGTCAACGATACAACCGCGCGCCTCACCAATGCCGTCAACTCGCTGCCGCAGCTAATGGAGAAGAAGCGACTCATTGACATGCACACCAAGATAGCGACAGCCATCTTAAACTACATTAAAGCGCGGCGATTGGACTCCTTCTTCGAGATTGAGGAGAAGATCATGTCCAAGCAGACGCTGGACCATCCGTTACTGGAGCTGCTGCGCGATGCGGAGTTCGGCCAGCCGGAGGATAAGATGCGACTCTACATTATTTATTACATATGCGCCCAGCAGCTGTCCGATGTGGATCTCGAGCGGCTAAAGGAGGCGTTACAGTCCGCCGGGTGCGATCTGACTCCACTGGCCTATGTTCAGCGTTGGAAGGGCATCATGAATCGCACGCCCAGCATGAATCAGGCCACACAGTATGAAGGCGGCGGCACCAAGACTGTCTCCATGTTCACCAAACTCGTCTCCCAAGGTAGCTCCTTCGTCATGGAGGGCGTAAAGAACCTGGTGGTTAAACGGCATGTGCGTGCTCTTTCAATTCCATACTCTAACCCATATTAATGGTAGTTTTTACTTTCAGAATCTGCCAGTCACAAAAATCACAGAGCAGGTGATGGAGTGTCGCAGCAATACCGAAACGGACGATTATCTCTATCTAGATCCGAAGCTGCTCAAAGGGGGCGATGTGCTGCCCAAGAATCGCGCCCCATTCCAAGATGCGGTCGTCTTTATGGTCGGCGGCGGCAACTACATTGAATACCAGAATCTGGTGGACTTCATAAAGCAGAAGCAATCATCGAATGTGCATCGACGCATCATCTACGGCGCCTCCACGCTGACCAACTCCCGACAGTTTCTCAAAGAGCTGTCGGCATTGGGCGCCGAAATTCAAGCGCCCGCGTCCACAAGTTAGGAGCGGCATGTGCGGGACACATTGCAAAAGAAGCAGCAGAAACAGCAGCGCTTCCATTGCTGCTGACGTGCTTAGGACGAAGATAAGATGGGCGCAGGAATGGCATGCAGGGGTCAACATTTTCTATAACTACAAGTTAAATGCGTGTGTGGCTTTTTCTTATATTTTAAGCATATCCAAAAATAAATTAACTAAATGGCAGCGAACCAATCCAATCCAATACGGCAACAACAGCAAAAAATGTAAGAGAAGCGAAGGCTGGCAGTGTCAAGCAATTACCTCAATTGCTGATTGTTGCAAGCGTAACTGAAATCCCCGAAGGACAACGACGACGGCGACAACGACAAGCAAAAACACGCGTCACAACGTGTACAACAAGCAGTGGCGGGGAGCGGATCGGATGGACATTCACATTCTAGGCGCCCATTAACACCAAGTCGGAGATGCACTTTGATGGACAGCTTCGGCTCTGTTTCTGATTGTTGTCTGTCAGCAGTCGATGGTAGGTTGGTAGGATGGCAGCCGACAATTACGTGCAACACAATTATGGGGCGACAACAATGCTGACGCTTGGGACGCAGTATTTCTGCTCTTGGCTAGTCACAGTTCATTAGCAATTAACACGAGCTGGGGAGCCTATGAATGAGTCGTATAGTCGTATGAGTTCTTGGAACGCCAACGCTGCCTAATTAACACTTTTCGTAAATCAGAATTGATGGCAGTGCTGAAAAGGAAGGCCTGCATGGAAAAGAAGATCTCAATGATGACGACGATGATTATTCATGCAGTGGTTAAATATTGGTTTTGGTTACCAGCCGGCTACCCGCGGCGTGCCACAGACCCATACAATTTAAATGTTAACATAAACAAGAGCAATTTAACAAAAGCACAGCAGCGTCCAACGGACAGACCCAAACAGTCATTTCACGGGTGGTCCCGCGCCTCTAAAGTAGCCAAACCTCCTCAAGTTTGAAAAGAGATGCGCCCCTCAAACAAATCATAAAATTGTACGAACGGTCCGTTCGAACGATCGAAAATACACGAAGAAAAAAGAAAACTTAACTAACAACGAAACATGAAAGAAACATACACACGCACATTATGTGTTGCCGTTGCAAGTGTGTGTAAATATTGGCGGAGCATCCATGGAGAGGGGCAGAACCAGAACAGAAAAAATGAACATCTCAAGCGAACGATTCCCACATTCCTGCTGCGAAACATAATGGCTGCCGCAGTCGCTGTCGACAGCAGAGGCCCAACAACATGCCTGCCTACATACGTATGCGTATGCGTATGTGTATGTGCATATAGACACATATGTATGTATGTATATTTATATGTATATATGCACATACATATATCATAATCTTAACAACTCTTAACAAGGCAGAACAAATTCCAAAATTCAAAGAGCGGCACAAAAAGTTGAAAAAGCTGAAGCAACCAGCCAGTCAGACAATCGGCCACTGACTACAAAATGAAGCTCCGCACACACACACATGGATACACACACACACACACACACATAGACACACAGTGGCCACAAAAGCCCATAAAGCCAAAGATCTGCTGAGCCGTTCGCACTCATGGTGCCTTTCCTCTTTTTGGGGGTCGCGGTCGCGTTGCAGTCGCCGTGTGTTGCATTTTTAAAAACGACTCCAAAGGAGGTAAGCAGTTCTTCGGGTACAGTTTAAAGCCAATGCTTGTCAAACTGTGTGCGGTAAAGAATGAAGGACGACGCAGGCGTTCTCTAATAATGAATTGTAGCAACGACAACTCAAATGAATTTCAGTTCCACGAGCAATTTGTTGTGGCAAGTAAGAAAAGAAGAAACGATGCACTTTTTAACGCCATATCGGAAAACTTCCCTCAAGTTTTTCTTTAAATTTGTAGCTAATTTCCATTGTGGGGGCATAGGTGGAAGACTACCAATATTTGTGTCACTCAGGGTTATTTTCAATATTTTCATTTGCAGCCAACAAATTTCTCCTTTATTGAGTTTATTCGGTTTTTTAGGTCTGTCAGCTAAAGCGATGCTGTAGTTTAGTTCCCTCTTGGTACTAAAAATCTATTTCATGTTCATCGTAGCTTAAGGGTATAATATAAAGCATATCCGAGACATGAAAGGCTGCCTAAATGTCACTTCAAATTGCCACAAAAGTACAATAATTGAAAGGTAATTGGCCGGTTTCTAAAATATACATACTATAATCGTACATATGAGAATATCTTGCAACATAGTGACCAGAGGGAGATATATCAGCATTAGTGGAACGTGATTGCAAAACTTAAAAGCTAAAGAAAAAGCTGATATCGGATATTAATTAATGCGCTTTTTCTCCTAAGCCTTAGCAACGCTTTTCAATATGATTAATGTTTTTTATAATAATTTACCATTTAAAAAGGTTTTTTATTTAACAAGGTCAATGGGGAAATATAAATGTATTGCAAATATTTGAAATTGAACTCTCTAGATATTTGTAGAGCTGGAAACATACAAGTCCACTGTATAAAGCAAAAGTAAATATTTTTTATTGCCGCAGCAACCGAAATAAAACTGCATACAAACGAAGGAGCAGCTAATTGACTTTTAAATTTTATAAAAACACTTCTAAGGTCCTTGATGAGCTTAAGACTTCTAAATTTATAAACATACTTATCTAAAATGGGTCAGCTCATTAATAATGCAGATGGAATATCTATTTGTGGTTTAGAGAAACTGTTGACGCTGTTAGAGAGCTTTTGTTCAACATTTAAAATATCAAAAGCCGATCCGTGATTTTAGAAAAATGATTGAGAGACTTCGGCTTTTTCCAATAAACGGCTCCCATATGAGCCCAGCTCCCACACTAAGATAGGCAATATAATAATCTTATGGCTAATTCTAGATCAAATACCGCTGCACCAAATGGCCAACAGCATTTGTCGAAAAAGAGAACAGACTGTCTGTTTGGTTATCCTTGTCAGAGCCCTGGTGGTCTCTGCGGCGCTGCGGATGTTAATTAATCAAGCAAATAATAATAATGCCGAGCTCCAAAGTATACGGCACAGATACGTAAGTATTTGCCGGCAATAAAAGACGCATCGTGCATCGGCCAGTCGGTCAGTCGGCGGGGATGAAAGGAAACTCGCAGGAGCCGTGGCTGTTTGCCTGTTTGTTAGCAGCTTGTTAGCAGCCTGGGCGGTAGCGCCTTACCAAAATTATGCTTTATGGCTTTTGGCCATTTCCTGAAACCATAAAAGCAAAATATCGTCGAAAATTTGAGCGTTGCGTGACGCAACAGAGCCAACAAAGCCACGCCCACAAGCAGCCAAGCCTGCAGACCGACGGATCCTTTAAAGTTATGCATAAGGCATAATGCAAATGTTTGTAAATCGGAAAAGATGCCAAGCTGGCGTCCATTTCCAGCTCTCGGCTAGACATTAAAATGTGCAGAAATGTAACTGCGCAATTCCAGGGCCAGCGCGTCATTATCCTGCGCGCCCGCAGGCCTCAACAGGCCGACGCCGAGGCCGAGACAGACACGTCAGTCAGCCTCCTCCTGCTGCCAACTCCTTCCAACTCGACCGCACCTAATGGCCACCAACAGCAGCTGAAGGCGCAGCCGTCTCCCAAACAGCTTCATCAAACATAAACAAACACACTGACATGGCCACATGGGACCGATGGACTTTAGGACGGACCCAACAACTGGCCGCCCGCACGTCCGCACCTCTGTACATGTGTGTTGGTGTGTGTGGGTCACCAAAAGAAGGAAAAAACCCACAACGATGACGATGATGCCGATGCCGATGCTGATGACGACGACGACGACGCAGTTGCTTTGCTTTACGATCGCGTATCTCAAGTTTATCGCTTCATTTTCCATGTTTTATGCGCAATTTATGCCGCGCATATGTCCAAATGCCGAGCCACCAGCCAACCAGTCGGACGCTGCAAGGCACAGTGGGCCTCTGAAGTCTGCGAATAAAAATAACAATGCTCGTTGACATTGTCAAATGCGAAATATGATAATAATAGATCAATAACCGAAAATAGCGCTAAGGAGAAACAATTACAACTACTAGTCTATGGCAAAATAGTTCATAAAATGTTAGTAGTAAAGTAAAGAGAGTTTCAAACGTCTCTTGATTTAGAAAAGTTCTGCTTGACTACCAAATACTCTGCAACCATGCTCAGCATTCGCCAAAATCAACCAACCAACTGGAACATGTTAAAAAGGACGCTTCAACTTTATCTTTCCAATTTTACAAAGCGTAAAAGCTGCATTCGATATTCTAATTTATACAATTTATTTGTTTACAAGTACATATAAGGAAACTGTAATAAAGCGATTAAGCTAAGAGTTGCTGAGCTTATGTTTATAGAATGAGAGAACTTTTATAAGTATTAATACTTATCTGCAACCCTAGCTGTTAAACAGTTCCATATCGACTTAATAACAAAATATATATTGGTACATATGTATATGGCCTTTACGGCCTCTTGTTAGCGTTAATTAAGTAAATTAATAAAATAATATTGAATACTCGTGTATAAAAATTAAATAAATATTTCTTATATCTATGCATCCAAAAAAAAAAGTGTCTTTCTCTTACTCTTTCATCGTAAAGGCACGTACTTGTATATACTTGTAGGTTAAAATATACATATTGAACATCAAGGATATTGGTAGACCGTGATTGTGTTTTGTTCCACTGTGCGTCTGTCTGTTCGCGATCGGCGCTCAACTGACGCTCCTCTGGCTGGGACAGCACGCACCGCACTGTCTGCCGGCGTCTGGACTCGAGTGCTAGAAGAGATATTCGCATGCGATTCGAGCAACTTGCCTTGGGAAATAAACTGGGTAGCCGAACAGACGGACAGCGGGCGCGGGGGGGCAGTGGGACGGCCAGATAGTCGGCCAGCCGTTTGGCCAGCCAGCCTGTTGGCTCCGCTGCCGCACCGGCCCCCTTCATTGGGCATATGTAAGTCATTTCGTTGCGTCGATTTCTTGTTCGTTTCATTTTCGTGCATAATAAAGTCGAACTAACTGCGGTAACTACACACACACACACACACACACACACACACACACACACACACACACACACACACACACACAAATATACACACACACACACATACACACTCGGAGAGGCAGTTCGTACAAGTTGTGTGATTGCCCCCCTTGGACATGTGTGGCCATAAGTGGCGACCCACCAGTGCCTTTGC